GAACCATCTTCCTGATCTGCCTGCTTCATTGGTTGCCCTGAAACAATGCTGAGGTGGCAAAGCCAAGTACAAAAATGGTGTTGGAGTCAAGCCTTTCAGAATTAGTGATAGTCCTTTGGTGTTTGAAAGGGGCCCTGGTGCATCTGTCTGAGCACCCCAGGAAACTCCATTCCCAGCTTTCTCCCAGTATCTATGTCCATGCAACCTCCATACCCTCCAAGTCCCGATTTTCCAGGGGCAGTCCCAGAATGATAGACGCCATCCCAGTTTCTGATTTGAGTCTGGAACATCCCTGTTTTCCTTTTACCTCCCCTCCTTGTCTCGGAGAACATTTAAAAGCGGTGGATAGATCAGATCACACACACACACACCCCAAACATTCTCATAGTTGTTGTTGCTTTGCTTCCTACCTTTTCTCTGACAGGAATTCGAGGCAGCTTACAGCTAAATTTTTATTTCATTCCATTTATCTGTTGAAGGTGTTGGACATGATCCATTCCTTCACACGTATTTTTTCCTTTACAACAATCTTGCAATGTAGGTTAGGCTGAGAGGTTGTAATTGGCTCAAGGTGACAGATGTATATGTTTATATGACATCTATGTGTGCAGGAGATCAAATGTCCCTATTTTCATCTGAGGAACATTGGAGGGTATGGCTCTCCATGGACCATTTGTAGTATGGGATTTTGTTTGTGCTGAACCAAGAGTACTTGGTTCAACAGTACTTCTGTGAGCCGCTCCAGATAATTTGGGGGAGAAGGCATACGGTATATTGGTGGGTATCACACCCATGTGGGCAGATAGCCCTTCCCTTCTCCCGCTTTCCTCATTTTGTCAGCTATGAGGGGGTTATATGAGGCCCACCGGAGGAGACAGGAAGCAGTAGCAACAGAGCCTTTTCCTATGAGCACCAGGCAGGTGCCATTGTAATTGCCCACAAGACACAGGACTGCTGTTGACACCAGGCTGGGTGTTAAGTCATTAAATGGCCATTTTCCACACTGTGTTTTTGGCTGCGTACTTAAGAGGTTGTAAATGTGTATCTCTAAAGATACAGAGGGATGCAACAGATGTGTTTGCAAACTTACATACCATGCACAGTGCCGGATTTACATATAAGCTAAGCAAGCTGTAGCTCAGGGCCCCACTCTCTTGGGGCCCCCCAAAAAAATTAAAGGAAAAAAAACCCCTGGATGTACATTTCCAAAATATAAGATAAAAAACAAATAAAATAAAACCTGCATACAGCAACAGTGTATTTTGTTATGTGCAAGTGGCTTTAGATACCTATTAGGTCCATAAATTACCATATAACATATATTCAACACAAAAAACAGTGACAATTTGTTGCTGACAAAGGACAGCTAGACATATAAAGGGCCCCATTACCTTCAGTAGCTTAGGGCCTCATCAAACCTAAATCCAGCCCTGACCATGCAGATACCCTCGTCAGAGAATCAGGACTGACCATTATTCCCTGCTAAGGAGACATTCAGTGCAAACCTGGATTTGCTTCTGTGTATTGTGTGAAACAGTTGTGTAGTTCTTTTGAAGGGAGTTAGTAGATTAGTGGGCCACATTTCACCTGACAATAATATTTATGCTGCCTGCATCCTTGAGTAGAAACAAGATCTCATATAGATAAATCATGCTTCTTCTTTCCTGCCCACTATTTTCTTTCTTTCTTTTTTTTTAGATAATTTCATACCATGGGGCATGTGGTGTTTAATGGATGCAGCAAATGAACCTTTATGCAAGGCACATGTTGTATGTTTTTCAGTAAAGAAATATGGGGTGTATAATAAATTTAAAGCATGAAATATGAACAGCATGAGAAACGCAGCCAGCTCCAGGGTTCCCTTGCTTTAATGATCGCCTGCTTGTCAAAAGTATTGGAAACATTAATTAAAATGAATTAGTAATGATTTTAAGCATGTGATTGGTGTGAGCCTATTTCCTAGTCGAGAGGAAATGTAATTTAATAGAATAGTTTATTATACAAGTTGCTTTCTTGTTCAGACTCAGCAACTTTAGGATTTTTCATGGATGTCATCATTTATTATCTCTGCGATGCTCTGCTGAATAGCATTCTTTTGGTCGCCATGAATAAATTGATGTGATGTGTATTGTATTCAGGGAGATGATTTGTAAAGGAGGTTAAAAACTTGTGGTGCAATAAGCTCCAAATTTCTTAGAGTGGGGAAGCTGTTTCTGGTACAGTGGTACCTCGGGTTACAGATGCTTCAGGTTACAGACTCCGCTAACCCAGAAATAGTACCTCGGGTTAAGAACTTTGCTTCAGGATGAAAACAGAAATCGCCCGGCGGCAGCGGGAGGCCCTATTAGCTAAAGTGGTACCTCAGGTTAAGAAGGGACCTCCAGAATGAATTAAGTTCTTAACCTGAGGTACCACTGTATATGGGGGGGGGGGTTGTTGTTGGTTAACAATGGAGTTAACCTCTCTAGTAGGCCACAAACCTGGGCAGTGTATATGGAGGTCCTGGGCTGCCCAGACCACAAGACCCTCCCCTTGCTGATCAGCCTTGCTGATGTGGGCCAAAGGAAAGCAGAACAATACATTTGGCACCAGCTTGGCTGCAGGTGTTGCCAGAAGGAGGCATACAAGATGCTGTCCAACTGTGCTAGGGACTCTACTCTGGATTTCTGTAGGGTTTACCCTTTGGCCTTTTCTTCTCCTGAAGATGCCCCACAAGGCAGTGGGTATATATTTTTCCTCAGGGTATACTTCCAAAGCCTTTCTCATGAAAGAATAGAGCCACAAGGCACATTTATTTGTTTGTTTTTCAAGTGTTTGTCGTGATTTAAGAATTATGAGCTACATCCCATCCACCCCCCAGACCCAGTCGAAAGCCATTGGACTGGGCCAACATTACTGTGAAGTCTACTGGTTGGCTATAACATATACAAAGCCAAAACACTTTACATGTATGGTAAGGTAAAGCTGAATGTAATCCTCAAATTGAATGTTGTCAATTCAAAAAAAAAAAACAACAACAACCTGCAAGATTATGCCACGATAATGGACATATTGCTACTTCAGTGGTGTATCAGGGCAGTAAACTTTATTTTGTAAAGACATCTTTCATGCTTCTCTCTTGATTGAAAAACAATCATTTTTCATAGCTCCCTCTTGACTGAATTTCCATATTTGCTCCATTTAAATGTTATTGTTCTGGTCACCTCTGGCTTTTTCATTACCTTGAGCCATGCAGTTATTCCCTCCTTTATTAGTATGAAATTGAGCCTTAAAACATGCACATATTAAGTACCATATAACATCATTCTCCCCTCTTCTAAAATTGTGCTCTGTCTGTAGATTTGCAGTAATATCATTTAGCCTGCAAATATATATTTTCTCAAATAAAAAAAGGTATCTGTTTACTAAATAGGATGCACAGCTGGAAAATAACTAAAGAGGAATGAGGCAGGTGTGAGCACACAAAATTACTGTGAGATATGGAAATCGTCTAAAGCCCCACAGAACAGCTGGCTTTTATTTATAGCTTGACAAAGGAATTAGCTCTATGAACACCTTTTGAAACTGTTGGCTAGGTTTCAAATGGAGTTAATCCTCTGAGAGTCATAAATCCCTGTCATCCAAGTCCAAGGAGAATCCTTGATGTCTAAGAACTTCCTCACTTAACAGTTGTAGGTGAACCTTGGATCAACATAATGAGAAAATAGATATGGGCACCTCTTAGCTGAACGGAGAATGAACAGCACTCTTGTTCCTAAAACTACAGAGAAGAGAAGACTCGGTAGAAGAAATAAATACAAAATCTCTGCTATAAAAGTTAGTCAAATATATCTTGAATATTTGGATTGGATAGGATTACATTGTTTTGGAAGAAGCAATACCAGTACTGGGACAGACCCCAGAGCAGAGCTTGTTAGAAATAAAAGTCAAGACTTGCCACTTACAGGTGAGGGCCCATTGGTAAAGGGCAGGAAGCCCACAGAAAATGCTTTTGTAGGTGCTTGCAAGTCCCCAACTGCCAAGTGATATGTCCAAGTGAGCCAGTGTGGTGTAATGGTTAAGAGTGGTGGACTCGTAATCTGGTGAACTGGGTTCGCATCCCCGCTCCTCCTCCACATGCAGCTGCTGGGTGACCTTGGGCCAGTCACACTTCTCTGAAGTCTCTCAGCCCCACTCACCTCACAGAGTGTTTGTTGTGGGGGAGGAAGGGAAAGGAGAATGTTAGCCGCTTTGAGACTCCTTCGGGTAGTGATAAAGCGGGATATTAAATCCAAACTACTACTACTACTACTACTACTACTACTTCCATTCCAAAGCATCAGGGTGGTGTAGTGGTTAGAGTGTAGGGTCAAGGAGATGAGGGTTCAAAATCCTACTTGGCTGCAAAGCTCACTGGGTGATATTGGGCCAGTCATTGACTCTAAGACTAACCTACCTCACAGAGAGTTGTTGTGGGAATTAAATGAGGAGGAGGAGGAGAACCATGTACACCACCTTGAGTTCCTTGGAGGAAAACGTGGGAAGTTGTGGAAGTGACATGTGGGGGGAATTTCCAAAAAGCGGTGGTTAGTCCTGGAAAAATCATGGTGTGTTTTTTCCCCAGAAGAAGTTCAACAACTTTGGCATTTTTCTAAAGAAAGCTCAACAACTTGAGGAATTTTCTAAAAATTTCTTTGTGTCTGGATTTTCACTTCTTGAAATATGGCAACCCAAACAACCGCATCATGAGCACAAGGCATGAATTCAAAGTGCATGCAGAGCACATCACCCAAGCAGGTGAGCTGAGCCAGAGACTTCAAGTCAGTGTTAGCTTAGCAGAGTGCCATTTTAGAGAGAATGATAAACATGCTTTAATAAGTCATTGACAACACATGGGCATCTATGGACAGGATCAGGTATGGGAGTGATCACTCCCAGAAAATGGCTGCCACTGGCTTCCCCTTTACAACATCTTAAGTGTCAAGCTTAGCATGGAGTTGATAAAGCGAGGCTTCTTTCCCAGGTACAAAAGTTAAAAGTGTTGTGCAAATGAGAAGAAAACAGGAACTGGGTGGGGTGAGGAATGTCACTTTTATTTTGCGGCATCAGGGAACAGTCTCATGGCACTGAGGAGGCACAGCGCTAGACAAGCAGCCCTTCGCTTCCCCAATAGGCACCCAGCGGCCAGTCAACCAGCCACTTAATCATGGCCCTTAAACTCTGTCGACAGAGGCTTGTTTCTCATTAAGCACCTGAAAGCAGACCAAATGACAGTCCTAAGGGGGAAATAAAGAAGAAAGGTATTGGTTTTCAGACACAGTTCAAAGGCAACAGAGCCAAGTCTTGGCCAAACAGAAACAATTGTCATTAATTCTTCACCCCCTTCCTCCCTTTTTTTCCATGGAGCAGTCTGAAATAAATTCCCCAGGCTCTGTTCTGCTGAGACAGATCCTGGAAATGGCTGAATGAGGAAAATGACAAGACTGTATACAAATTTATTGTTCCATTTCTACCAGATGGGTTTCTGGGAGGTAATTGGAAACTGGAAAGGGGTGTGGGGAGGAGATGGAGGAAATCATTGCTGCTTCAATGGTTGATGCCTGGCCTATCAGGCTTTGTCACTTCCACCAATGTAACGAAGTTGGATCTGGCCTTACTGTACCTTTGTGATTTATTTTTAAAGGAACAATATGCTTTTCTAGCTCAAACTACATTGTTAACTGTCTAGGTTTTCCCCCACCCCCAGAATGAATCTTTGTGAAGAAATGTAACTTTACACACTTGTGGATAGAAAGCTTTGTAAAGAGATGCTTTGTGGTGTGTCCAGCAAATGGGAAGAAAGGGCTTCATCTTCCCTCAGTAGTCAGGGCAAGTCAACTGTTGAGAGCCATTGTTGTCGTGCTGCTTCTGCTTGATGGGCAATTCATGCAGGAAAATTGGCTGCCATCTTAAGCATACAGATTAGCTGGATCTCCCCAGAGCTTGGTTCGGGTTGACATGATATGGTTGCTAGGCAACCACAGAAAGCTCTTCCTAAATATCTCCAGGTTTGGAAGGAAATATTGAGAGGAAGGCAGGGTGGCAAGCTGGATCCTCAGAGCAAAAAAAAGATAATGTCAGGAGAAAGGGGCTGTGTGGGAACTTCAGGGCTACTTAGGGGGCAGAAAGTGTCATGGTGTCAAAGGAAGGTTTGGTAGGCCTGGGAGAAAAGCATTGTTACTCAGCACAGGAAAGAGGTGGGTGAGAAGGGAAAAATAAGAAGGAGAAATTGTATAGGGTGGAGAAAGGCATCATGGACACCATGAGAAGATACATGGGGTGGTATTCAATGAGGTCTTACTCAGAGTATACCCATTGAAATGAATGAACACAATGAAATTTGGTCCGTTCATTTCAGTGGGTCTACTCTTATTTGGTCTTGCCACTCAAGTGCAGATTTCAGCTGCTGTCCAGGGCTCTCATGTTCTTTGGGCTGCTCCTGAACAATGTTGTGCAGAGACAGAAAAGTTCCTTGTGCCTCATGCATATCCCACAAAATGTGGATGTTTCGTGTGAATGATCAAAAGAATATACACAGTGCAACTAAATAAGTGTATCAGCAAACCTAGTGCCCTACATTTTATAATCTTCTTGAAGCTGAATAAAAAGAGGCACTTGACAGAGCTTCTCTACCCTCCTTCTCAGCAGAAACACAATAATTTGCATTTCTTTGCTGAATATATTGAGGTAGCGATGGGGGAGGCTGTCAGCAGGACAGGCCTCCTACATCCTGACACCAGAAATGTCTGAAGCACCGGTGACATTTAAAATGCCAAATGAAATGAACGGGGAAGTCTTCTTTAGAAGTGACAGATGCAAGAAATGCCTTCCCAGCCTTTGCTCTTTATTTTAACAATCCTGAAACAAACTGTCACCATTAATGAGAAAAGAAGATAGGGAAATACAAAGCTGTGCCTGATCCGCAACCCCAGCATATCATCATGATTCTCATACGGAGAATGGAGGCATTTGTTATTCTAATTTCCCTGGAACTGTTATCTGTTGCTACCATTCTTTCAGAGTGTTCATTACTTTTCAATATGGTTATAACCTTCAGTGCCTTGAGAATACACACACACACACACACACACACACACACACACACAGAGTTCACACCTCTTTGTCTTTAAAATACCAGCTACATTTGGAATTGCCTTTTAAGTCTTTGTCAGTATATATCCATATGTTTACCAGTTTAGCTACCCACTTTCACTTTTCCAGTATGATTGAACTGTTTTCTGAGGGAAGAGAAATGTGACGCTTATTATAAATAGCACATACATTTTTGATCCATGAAGGTTTTAAGAAATATTTCCATATTCAACAGCACTTACTCCAGTGGGATAATTTTCGCTCTCGCTGGAAAATATGTATGTATGGGGGGGGGGGAATCCTAATGGATTTCCCCCACTCCCTTATTCTCTTTTATTGAACTGCTTGTGTTTAGGCTTCAAAAAATTTAACCATATAAATGCAAGAAAGAAAATTCACAACTGCAAACCACTAAATACACTACAAGCTTCTCCCAAGCATCCAAAGTCAATGACTCCCGTGCTGTGGTCCACTCCGGACTAAATCGACACAACTCCCTCCTTTTTAACAATCTCAGCCTTTGTTCTGTCCTATAGATGCCAGCAGGTCTTCCTAGCCTTTGTATTGGGTGCTTGAAAACAACCCCCCATGGTTTGTTAGAGTGGAAGACTAGTGGTAAAGGGGCTGCTTAGCCCTTTTTACTAAAAATTACCGTATTTTTCGCCCTATAGGATGCACTTTTTCCCCTCCAAAAATGAAGGGGAAATGTGTGTGCGTCCTATGGGGCGAATGCAGGCTTCAGGAAGCTATCCACAAGCCTGGGGAGCCTGCAGGAGTTCCCGCATAGCTCCCTAGGCTTGCAGATAGCAGCCTGTTCTGGGGGCTGGGGTCGGGGGAAGCTCGGGGGAAGCCTGGGGGAGGAAAATAATTTTTTTTCTTTATTTCCCCCCGAAAAACCAGGTGCGCCCTATGGGGCGAAAAATACAGTACATCCTCTCACTAGATGCTATCCTGTCTGGTGAGGGGAAAATAAGAAGTCCCATCTGGTTAGGTGCTTATTCCACCCAGTTTGTCCCACTCCACTGTACAGGCCATCTATATGTAAGTGGGTGTTAACACATAGCTTCCATGTGGCTTGAGAAATCTTTAAGGTTGGGGTTCCCAAACCATGGTCCACAGACTGCTAACAGTCCACGAGCTTTATTTAGGTGGCGTGTTGCATGTCTGTGGATTTGCGGTTGAAGGTGGAAGAGGGCACATCTATTGCTTTCCAAATTCACACTAACTTTTAATTGCATTTTATTGCTTTTTACTTCTTTCGTTGTACTGCATTGACTGCAATTTCAGCTCTGTAAATTTCAGATTGCAATACATAGCAAATAAAAGAAGCAGTGAGAATGCAGATTACAATTGCTACAAGAGGCAGGAAAATCATTAAGTGGTCTGCCAAGACTCTCAGCAATTTTCAAGTAGTCATTGATGGGGTAAAGTTGGGGAACCACTGCTTTAAGGGACACCTGATGATACAATCTTTTGTGCAATATCTGGCAAGCCCTCTTCAATGGTGATTTGCTGTAATGTAGTTAAGAAGCGAAAAATATTTGTTCAGAAAAATGAGTAGAATCCTTCCAGTTCACAAACTGAAAGCATTTTGTACTAGCTGACGGGATGAGAAGCCCTGCATTTAAATTCATTTAAAGAACTTCCACTGGGTATTTGAAGGGAGCAGATGGTGAATGGTATAACAATACAGTGGCCCCTTCTCCAGGGCCACAATGTCATGTAGCCTAGTAGCCCGGGGGGGGTCCCATTTCCCCTTTCTCTGCTGCCGCCACCCACTTACAGTAAGTGTCACCTCATGGTGGTTTCTTCAGGAGTGAGGAAACTGCCTCAGTTTTAATTATCACTACAACCCTCTGTGTCACTGTCAAACAGAACCTATCTTGTTGGTTGTGGATTGAGGGGACAAAGCGACTTGTCCACAAGACAAAATGGAGAACCAGAGATCAAGGGTGTCTCACTACAAATAATATCTACTGACCTTATTTGGATGGCCAGAGATGGTGCATCAGTCAGGGTGGACTGCTTCTGCCAGAGAGCCATGGTGTCAATGAGATGTGTTTCATTCTCTTCCAGGATCTAACGGATTCCCATATTTGTGGTCTGGAGGCTATTTTCTCCGGGATAAATTGGCCGCTGACCTGGGAGTTATGGGGTGATGCCCCATATGGAAGTGGGTAAGTCTTGTATGAGTTATTTGAGATCTTCCAACTCTTCTGTGCAGGACATAGAAGGGTATTTTTCTGGAAAGCGGGTTGTAAAGAGAGGCAGGGCATGAATGCTAAGTAAACTCACATTCATTCTTCTCTTCCCAAATTTAAAATAAGACCTTTGAGGTTAATGCCTCTGCAATTGAGGTAACAATCGGAGGGGGAAAGAACTTCTACGTACTGAAAACAAGTGCCTTTCACTGAGCATTTCTCCTGTTACAGACCCCATCAAAACAAACACGAGTTATGCAGTATCAACAATTGGTGCATTGTGCTGTGCTTATAGTATGTACTTTGTGGAATGAATACAGAATGGGATGTGATTGAGTGGGTTCGAGCGTAACGATTTTGATGCAAACACAGCTCTGCAGGTGTCCCGCCCTTGATTTGTGAAGGCTGCTTCACAAATATATGGCCATCACTTCACTGCTTACAGGGGAATTATTGGACTATGTTGAAAAGCATTTTGTATAAGATGCTGCGCAAATTCTATGGAGCTTAATCTGTGATGAGCCATTGACACTTGCAGTTTCCAGCGATGCCACACAGCTGTCCAGTGAGGAGCAAGCGTGTGTGAACCAGTCTTCAGTCCCCAGCCCAGTCAATAACTCAAAAAGCTGCCAAAAAAACCCACAAAAACATTTATGGCTAGGCTTTAACAAAAGCATTTGGAGTCCCCCACCCTACTCCTGTCTTGTATTATCGCCCTTGCTTGCAATTCCTCTTTTTGTGGCAGATTGTACTTTTTTTATCTTGGTTCAGTGAGGAGCCTTGGAGGAGAATAGTTATTCAAATCAAATGAGAACAAGCAAACTTCTCATTAGCTAGAAGAAAAATAGAAATCAATCTTGCCGCGCTCAAAAAGCAGACCATAATCTCTTCTAATTATTCCATAACCCCAAGGAAGCTGTCCCACGAGAGGAGCCAAGATAATCCTTGAATATTAAGGAAGGGGTAGAAAATGCAAGCAGAATTCGTAAGATGGGGAGATGTAAGGCAAACAGGCACATGAGCAGGAGGCATGCTTCTGCTTTCATTGCATTGTTCAACGGCCATTTCTCACCAGCTGAACGAAAGCAGATCGCCTTTCACCACAAAGCCACGCAGAGCATGGAGACAGATTTCTAAGCTGCAGATAATTCCATTGCATAACTTTTTTTTCAACACCACGATTATTAGGTGGGCAGCAAATGCTTGGGATTCAATTTCACTGAAGGGGGGCTGGGATTGGGTCATTCTATGGAAACAAGATGAGAATAAAAGACACTACAATATTTTACAGTTTATGAGCTTGGAGTTGGGTAGGATTCTTACTTTGCCCCCATTATGCACTTCCCCACTGTGTCAGCTCCCAAGAACAGCTAATTTTGTCCATTTGTTTCTACCTAATCCTCCAAGTCGTCATTGAGATGATTAATCCTCTTTGGCCAAAGCTGGTTGGAGTCCCTAAACATAAATTACTAAAATGGTTAAGGCCACAGTCCAGCACAAAATGGGACATGTTTAAACTCCCTGAAATCAGTGGACCTAAACCTGTATTTGATGATGACTTAAACATTTTATCATTCTTTTTTTATATATCCCAGTTTAGGAATGGAGGGAAATGTTGTTTGATTCAAAGTCACCTAATTTGCTGTGACAGACTTGTATGTGAATTTGAACAAAGGTGTATATCAGAATGCACAAACCTCTCAGTTTTCCATTGCTCACAAAAACATGAGAAAATGCATGCAAAAATGTGTATTTTACGGGAAAACACGGAAAAGCATTCAAAATTGTGCATTTTCAACAAAGAACATGTACAGAATAATATAGTGATAATATAATACACATACAAAAGGTTTAAATACATTTTATACATAAAAAAGAATCTGCAGCAAAATGGGAATGGGGTGGGATTGCGTGTATGTGAAACTAAGATGGAGAGGAAATACTTAGGTCAATTTGTCCATACCTACATCTCGCCAAAATACAGTATGAGTCTAGGAGCTCTGGTGTGTGTACATAGAGGAAGCTGGTGCTTCAACATTCATGAATTGAATTAAAGTTGAAGTTTAATGTACCAGGAATCTTTGGGAGGAATTGCAGAACTATAGAATCATAGGACTGTAGAATTGGAAGGAATCCTGAGGGTCACTGAGTCCAACTCCCTGCATGGTAGGAATCTCAACTGAAGCATCCAGGACAGGTGGCCATCCAACCTCTGCTTAAAAACTTCCAATGAAGGAGAGCCTACAACATCCTAAGGGAGTCTGTTCCACTGTCAAACAGCTCTTACTGACAGAAAAAAAATCTCCTTTCCTGTAATGTGAATCCATTGGTTCAAGTCGTACCCTCCAGAGCAGGAGAAAGCAAGCTTGCTCCATCTTCCATGTGACAGCCCTTTTGGCTATCACATCTTCTCTCGGTCTCTTCTTTCCCAGGCTAAACATACCCAACTCAACCAGTGGCGTAGCTAGCCACTCGGGCGCCCGGGAGCAGGGCAAGCCGCCCATCGGGGTGGAGCAAGCTGCCCATAGGGCACGGCAAGCTGTGTAGAGCCTCCATGGAGTCCGTCTGCCACTTCCCCCTTAGCCGCTGGGGGGAGGAGGCGGGCAGATGGGCAGTGTGGAGCCTGCAGGCACCCAAGCCACCGTGTCACTTCCAGGAGAGATGCGTGGCTCGGGCACATTGCAGGCCCCACAGTAAGTGGTGTGGCATCCAGTGCACCCCCCCCCCAGCTATGCCTCTGCCCTCAACCATTCCTCATAAGACTGGTTTCCAGACACTTGATCATTTTTTGGGAGGGGGGACAACATTTGCCCACCTACAGTCCATAGGGAGCTCACTTCTTCTTCAAGAATTCTCAAAGATTATAGACATCCAACCACCAGTTCTTGGCTACAGAGCTTTGGACTGGGATATGTGAATGACTTCAACAGAATTGTCCTGTTCTTTTTTAAATCTGCAAAACAGAGCCCACTTTCATATCAGGCACACATCACCCAAAGGAGGGGGAGTCCTGGAAAACCAATAAATCCAATTGTCCGCTTAATGAATAACAGACTTGCTGTGAAGCTCAACTGTAGAAATCTTTCTGCTGACCTTATAATCTTGTCTATGTCAGTGCGGCTATGTTTGGATCACTCAGGTCTTTATCCTGTGCTAAACACAGGGGGCTTTGCTCCTGGGAAAAACACACATGCACACTGTCATTCTGACTTTGGCATTGAGATCTTCCTCTTGTTCACATCACAAGGGCCCTCTATGAAGGGAAATTATGGGAGACAAGTTGACAATATGGCATGGCCAGTTTAGAATGGTTGCCGCTTGTAGATAAGGGGCTTCAAAAGACTTGTTCATGACTGAAACAAAAGTGGGAGGCAGCACCATGAAGTAGCTCCTGAGGCAGAGAAACTTGGAGTGATACTCCTGTTCCTATCACCATGTCTACTTTAAGGTGTTGTAGTGGAAGCCAAACTCTCCCAACAGATTCTTGCTGGCTGGGCAAATTTTCTTCTTGAACCTGAAAGAAATAGAGGTTGCTGGTGTGGTTTTTCACCAGCTGCACCAATTATTTCTTCCTACTTTTCTTTCTAACATACTGCTTAGCTAGTGACTCTAGTCAACATGAATCTGAAGCATCTTTATTTAAAACAGCATCTGGGATCAAAACCTTCTCAGGCACTTTTTAGCAAGATGGGGACTGATGTTGCTTATGGCTCGTTCCGGCCCAAATACAATCTAGTTCACGAGATTGTCTTAGTGGAGTTCTGTATTTACATCCCTTTTGACAAAAATGTTTTCATGTGTTTCATGGGAACAGTTTCCAAAGTCAGCATGGGGCTGCTGAATGCCAAATGGGAGCTGACCCCAAGGGATTTGCTTGCAAGAATAGCTTTTAAATGACATCTTCTGATAGTTTCTGTGGTGGCATCTGAGGAATTATCACACCATGGCCCTCAATGTTGCAAAATGCAAAGCCCACCTGTAGTTGCCTAAGATAGCTTCTTTGTGCAGGAGGGATTTTGTCCCAGATTTTATCTTGAGAACCATTCTGAGGTGTATTGATGAAGGGCAGTATATAAATCTAAAACAAACAAATTCTAGCCATGTATTTAATTGCTCCAATCCAATGCACTCATATCCACATGTGGATATAAACCACACATGCAAAATGGTATTGCATGCATTTTTCAACTCCACAAATATCTAACCATGCCTAGAGCTGGTCTGTGATAGAACCCAATCAGACCACAGATGATTATTTCTCATGAATACCTTTCCTTATTGTGAACAAATAGGGACAACGAATGATCATTGTTATAAGCAGCTGCATGGGCCTAGGTACTGGGCATACTGGGCATCAGTGCCAAAGACTTTCCTTTTAAAGGGCCGGGGGGGGGGGCGGGACTGCTGTGCTGATAGTATCACTGAAATTGCTATAGTAGCATTGCTGTCAATATGATGAGATATGGAAAAATAGCCACACCAAATTCTCTTAAGTAAATATGCTGCCTTTTTGCAATTTATTTGTGGATATATTTAACAGCCAGTCTTTTACCTTGCTAAGAAATCGTGCTTCTCCTCCCTAAAATCAGTACCACTTCATCCATCACCACTTCATCCAGTATCATCCACTATCACTTACCAGTGGAACTGGTGGTTATAGACATTATGCGAGGGGAAAGACAGGAATTCTCTCTCTCTCTCTCTCTCTCTCTCTCTGTGTGTGTGTGTGTCTTTATGTCCAAAATACAAAAACAAAGAATCAGAAATACAACTCAGAAAGATTGAGGGCTCACTATGATGTTCAAAATTCACTTGTTTATTTGATTTGAACCAAATAGGCATGCTTATGATTTTTGATCCCCAGCTATTTCAAGTGAGGAGAAATGCAGAAAGAACTTGATTTTTCTTTCAGCTGATATGGAAGCCTTGTTTGGAACTCAGCATTTTGGCTACATTTCTCTTGAGGTTGTGTGTGTGTGTGTGTGTGTGTGTGTGTGTGTGTGTGAGAGAGAGAGAGAGAGAATGACTTTTTGCAATTGCTGTTCATTGTATTTGCAAGTGCATGAATGATGTCAGGTTTCCACCTCACACGCTCCTGAGTGTGTGTGTAACACATATATACTAATTACAAGTAGAAAGCACAAATGATACTACCTAGTTCACAGCATCTGTTAGGGCCTTAATTAATTCAACCTCCACACCGTCACCATAGCAACGATGCTTAACTGACTATGCTGACTCAGAATGTTCAATAGAAAGCCTTGCACTACATATTTATTCAAATTACAGACATTACTGAAATATTTCTGTATTAGCTCCATAATGGCAGGGTTGATGGTAACAGAAGATGGTAACAGAACACCTTTATATAGGTGACCTTATTTCACAATATTGCCTTATTGTCATGCAGAACGGCATTCATGCTTGAGAACATAAAAGCAGGCACAGTCTCTTTAAAGGCACCTTGCATTTAAAATTTGCCACCTTTTCTTGATGTCCAATGAATATTCCTGGGAGCAAATGAAACATCATCTTCATTTTCAAAAATGTATCATTTTCAAAAGAGTGCCTGAATTATAGCAATTCAGCAATGCATAGAACTGTAAGGACTGTATCTCATATAACCTTTTGTTTCTTGTGATTTATGAATCAGAAACTGATACCTCACTTCGTATCAGCCTCATAGTTTTGAACAAAAAGGGGATCACAGAGTTCAGCTGAAATAGACTTTTTAAATTTAGGGATTTAAAGAAGCAGAAAACTGAAGATAACTAATGTGCACATTCCATAAAATGAAGCTACTGTAATGCTTGCATATTGCACCACCAGAAAATTGTCGAATAAAAGCATACATTTTGCTGGTTTTAGAGCTCTTGTTTTGCAAAAAGAATCTGGGAAGATCTTGTTATCTGACAGTTTCATTTCTTCACTGAGAACATTTAGTGTCATTATCTCATCATTATCATCTTGTCCCTAGCACTGTGCAGACACAGAAGCTTTCCTAGAGAAAGGGGAATCCTATTATGCAAACAATACAACTTAATGCTTATGCAAATCTACCTGCTTTGCATAATTTATGTCAATTAACAAAATGAGACTATAGGGCTGATCGTGCAATTGCTACAACACTTCCTCTTAACTAGGGAGGGAGGGATCGCTTCATTTCCACTGTCGTTTTTTTGTACATACTTTTTACCTAATCTGTTTCCGTTTGCATTCACTTTTAAAAAATGCACTGAAATTCATATTTAAAATTAGCAAAGCCTACATTGTTATGTGGCAGTCTAAGGGCTGCCTATAAATTGTTCAGTTCTTTTCTTTTTTAAAAAAAGGAGAGCCACTCTAAGCAGCTAGAAAACCCACCTGCTGGCACTGCTGAAGCTGCTGCTGCTGCATGTTTTCAAAGATGGGATTCTGAGAGTGACAGGATATTATGACAACCTGTCCTCACAGGGACATTGTCCAAGGAAAGACAGCATTGGCTGCCCCTACATACTCCTTGGGCACTAGTAAGTATTTATGCATAAGTATTTATGCATTCATGCACTTGCAGAGGACATTCTGATCCATACATTAGGCAGAAGACTTTGGTCAGGTTGGTTTGCTTCAAAATGCAGACTGACAAAATTTCTCAAGATCCCCAGCTCTTCAACTACTTCACTCTGACAGGCTTCCTATGCAAAGTAGTAAAGAGTGATCGTATTTGTGCACACATGAACACATATGTATCTGTAGAAGAATGTGGTTCTGATATAGCCCTGCATAGGTCCTGGCTACCTCATTACGTCGCTTGCAGACGGATGCAATGTATCTTGCTGAGAAACATCCCACCTGCGTGAGGCTTATTTATACAAGAAATGAGTTTCCCAAAAAGCAACTTGAGGGATGCTTCCCCCTCACCCCCCAAAACACCTCTGGTAAATAATGTAGAGGCCAGGTAGGTGTGTCCTATCCAGATCATGAAGAGCACAGGTGTCCTGGGCAGAGAACTCCGCTGGTTCCCAAACTTATTTCCTCTTGAAAATTGTTGCGGGTCTTGACAGACCACTTAATGATTTTTCTGCCTGTTGTAGCAATTGTTAATTTACTGTGCTAGATGCTCTATGGCTTTGAATCGTATAATTAGACACGTGAAACTTGCCAGCCAATGGTGATGTGTGGACCACAGTTTGAGAACCCCTGCACTCATGGATGATGATGTCATAAGGATGCTGTGCCAACTGAGATTTCTAAAAAGACAATATTAATTTTTCAGTGGACAGGCACTAGATAGACACACACACACACACACACACACACTTTTATTAATCCCAAATCAGTGTGCCTGGGAATCTGCCAATAAGTAACTAGTAGGACAGAAGTACGGTATATTGTGTCAGGGCAAATCCACTCGGTACAATGAAGACTAATCAATGCAAACCTTCTGTGAGCTTAAAGATCACGCCTAAAGATTTCAGTCTTGTGCTCTATTAAGTACAATAGGACACTGATGATCTTGATAGGGAATATCAGAATGGAAAGTGCACAGTCTTTGCAGATCTGGAACTTGCTTGTATTGAATAAACAATGTCTCTCTTCTGCTCGATATTTAATTATTTTCACTGAACAAGTACACAGTGTCCCTGAACTTGAAAAGAATGTTATACTCCTATTGTACTAAGACAAAATTGCTACTCCAAAGGTATGTACAAATTCTGTTAATCTCAGCTGTAGGATAATCTAATTATTATTTTTTCTTTTGAAGTATGCAAAACAATATTTACTGAATGGATTATGGAAATTTCAAGGTAAAGCTAGCTTTGAAGATTAAGCAACTTACATGCTGTTAATACTATACTACATTTTCTTTTTTTCTTTGCTTTCGTTCTTTTTTCTCCCTCCCCTTTGAAATTAACAAGGAAGCTTTATTTTGCATGGCAGATAAATTCTACCTAATGCACTTTAAAAATGGGAATGCCAAGTGAATCCTTTGAATACGTCTCGACTTAAGGTGAAAGTTAGTAGTGCAATGTAGCAGCAAAACATACTGTTCCAATAACTTTATGCACTAGGGTTTGCTTGGGGGTTTTTTGACCTTGAAAAATGCCCTTGATTCTTTAATAAAAAGGTGATAATAATCCTCCTGGTGCAATGTGACTTCTGCAGGGGAGGAGATGCCTGCATTCATAGCCATGTCTAACAGATGGTCTTGTGTTCCTCTATAAATCTTCATGATGGGGAACATCAGTTACTATGGCTTAGCCTGGAAACAAGGCCCACCCTGAGCACTTGGGTATTTTGAATGTGGTGTTAGCTCTGCAACTAGTATATACAGTGGTACCTCAGGTTAAGTACTTAATTTGTTCTGGAGGTCCGTACTTAACCTGAAACTGTTCTTAACCTGAAGCACCACTTTAGCTAATGGGGCCTCCTGCTGCAGCCGGAGCACGATTTCTGTTCTCATCCTGAAGCAAAGTTCTTAACCTGAAGCAAAGTTCTTAACCTGAAGCACTATTTCTGGGTTAGCGGAGTCTGTAACCTGAAGCGTATGTAACCTGAGGTACCACTGTACCCTGCTTTTTTGTACAATTCCCCTGTATCCACCAGTGCTACCACTGTAAGACAAGCAGCAACTTTTTATCTCTGAACTAGTGCCCGGCACCATGTTCTTAGTGCCAGGAAAAGCTAGTGCTACTATTTCTCCAAGTTCTAAACAACCGTAGCATGTGGTTCCCAGATCCCCTCCAGCCAACCTTGCCTTCTGTATGAGTCAAGATGAGAAATGGAAACGGGTGAGGAGAGCACCAGTGGCCACATTGTGTCATGAGCCTCCTGATCCCAACTGGCTCAAGGCTGGTGTGGCAGTTCCTGTCAGATGAGGAAGACAAGGAAGAGGGTACAGAGTGGACCATCAATGCAGAACAGCCCAAGAGGGAAGATGGCCCCCCTACCCCTTTGCCTTGAGAAGGGGAGGCAGTCCTGCTGGCTCCCTCTCCTGCCTCATCCGTGGAGTGGAGAGCTTCCATAGCAATGGGGCAGGGCATGGACCAGACAGGAGAGGCGGCTGGCCAGTTGGAAGGGGAGGAGTCAGAGGCGCTGACTTCTGTTCCATCACCAAGAACTTGTTGGTGCCTCCAGCAGTGGCAACAGACCAAGGCTTCTGGGAGAAGCACACCACAAATGCACCAGTGTAATGAAATAGGAAGAAAGAGTCTTACAAGTGAGTGTGCCATTTCTCACCTTTAAAAACTGGTGAGAGGGGGGTGACCCTTTGAGACATCTTCACAGCTTTTGCCTGGCCTCAGATGCTGTTCTTAAACTCTCTAGTTTGTACCTGTACCATAGCAATGAATGGTTGAATGAAGCTTTCTTACTTACTCTCAGGTAAGAGCCTCTCTTGTAGCGTTTGGGACAGGAGCCAGGACACATGGGGGGACCACTCGGGGATGGGCACCACTTGAGAAACCAAGCTTATGCAATGCCTCATTTCTCACCTATCTATATAAAAAAGGTCATTCTGGGAAGTGTAATGAAATCAGAATGAGGAAAATTTCCAGTAAGTCAAGCCATGCATTGCAGCATAGAAAAACAAGACTTAACAGCAAAGTCATTTGTCAATCTGACCCAAGGAAGAATTCCTTCCCAACTCCAAATATGGACATTAGTCAGTTTCATAAGAACGTCAGAAGAGCCCTGGTGGATCAGAACAAAGACCCATCTAGTCCAGCATCCTGATGTTGAAGGGGTCAATGGGAAGCCTGCAAGTGGCACCCAAATGTACAGCAATTTCCCCACTTGGGATTCCTAGCAACTGGTTTTCAGAGGCATATTTCCTCCTACAGTGGAGGCAAAACAGAGTCTACGTGGCTAGTAGCCATTGAGAGTCATATCCTACAAGAATTAATCTACCGTATATACTCGAGTATAAACCGACCCAAATATAAGCCGAGGCACCTAATTTTACCACAAACAACTGGGAAAACCTATTGACTCGAGTATAAGCTGGTTCACCACACCACAAACCACCTGGTGGGCCAGTGTGTGCGTGCGCGTGCGTGTGCGCACATGGCAGAGGGGGCTTCTCTCTCCCCCCAGCCCCTCCCGTCCCCCTGCCTATCTAGGGTGCTGCCGAGAGGCAGAGGCTAGTGGCGGCAGTGGCGGAGGAAGAACAAGCAGCCCACCTCTACCGCCGACAGCAGCAAAGGCAGAGGCGGAGGAAGGAGCAGCCCCAAAGGACCCTCACTTAAGTATAAGCCGAGGGAGGCTTTTTCAGCATAAAAAATGTGCTGAAAACATTGGCTTATACTCGAGTATATACGGTAATCCCTTTTTAAAGCCATTCAAGCTGATAAGAAACCCAAGATCTTTTAGAAGCATTTCCCATAATTCATGCATTCCCTCCCATTCACAAGTAAAATAAGATAAAGGAATGAGAACTCCTACTTTTGCCCATCTTTCCTTGCCATCACTTCTCCTCACTACAGAGACAAATTATCCTTCTGGGTCTACGTCCAGAAGGTACAATGCCAGATTGTAGCATTTGATTAGAATAGGCCTACATTCTGCTGCCAGTTACATCCCCCACTCAAATGTTCTCACTTGGGCTTGATGTGTTTGAAAAAGAAGTGAAAAAATGAATTCAACACCTTAATTGGATGTTACTGAGATAGCCTGTTCATGTGAGTTTTAGATTATGTGAATTAATCCAAAATGGTCCCAAGACACAACATTTGGATTTACATCTGAATTTTTCAAAATGCTAAGGTCTCTGGGACTTTGAGACCATCGATGTTGCTTTTCTGCTCATCTCTGTAATTGCATGGGAACCAGAATTATGGAAACCAGAAACTGGAAATAAAATGACATTTGATTGAGATTTTGCGATGGCAAGATTTATTTATTTTTTGTAATTTCAGCCACTTTTAATATTTCAAGTTCCAAATGAATAACAGGACATTTGGGACTCTACTTCTTTTACATCTGCCGGAGATCATTTTGTGCGCAGGCTGCATGTGAATGAACTTTTCGGGAGGGGGAATGCAGCAGAGTATTTGCACGCTGTCATTTTCAAAGGCTTGTAATGAACCATGAAAATTTGCCAGCATTTCAGTAAGAAGCTGTAAAGGACATATAGGACACAAAACAGCCCTTCTGATAAATTTTGAGCTAAGGCATTTTGTGAATTCGGGAGACAGGCTAGGAAAAAAGCCATGCAAAAAAAGTTAAGATAACCAGTCATTCTAAATGGGTGGGGGTGGGTGGGGAAACTTTCTTTTCTTTTTTTAAATGATATTTATTAAAATTTCAAAAGAAAAAGATTACATTAATAAGAAAATTAACAATAAAAAGGAAAAATACAAAATACAAAATACAAAAAAGAAAAAACATCTTTTCATCACTTCTCTTACATTTACTTGTTTCCCGGACCTCCTCATACCACCCTCTTTTGTATTCCAATTCAATTTGTTAGTCCAGCAATTCCTTTCCCTCCTTTTTAATCCTGATCTTTGATCTTGATATATTATAACATTAATTTTTTACGTATTAAAAACCAATTTTTCCATATTCTTTTATACCATTACAGCTAGAAACCGCTTAACTTCAATCCGTCATCATTCTAACATTAATTTTACAATATTTCTGTAAGCAGTCTTTAAATTTCTTCCAATCTTCTTCCACCAACTCTTCTCCCTGGTCTCGGATTCTGCCAGTCATTTCCACCAATTCCATGTAGTCCATCATTTTCATCTGCCATTCCTTCAGTGTGGGTAGATCTTGTGTCTTCCAATGCTTTGCAATAAGTTGTAGCATACATAAAGAAAGTTCTGTCCTTCTATGCCCAGGAGAAAGGCCTCTGGTTTCTTCAGGAAGGTATATTTAAATACCTTTTTTAATTCATTATAAATCATCTCCCAGAAAACCTTAATCCTTGGGCACATCCACCAAAGGTGAAAGAATGTACCTTCAGTTTCTTTACATTTCCAACATTTGTTATCGGGCAAATGGTAGATTTTTGCGAGCTTGACTGGGGTTATGTACCACCTGTATATCATTTTCATAATATTCTCTCTTAGGCCATTACATGCTGTCAGGGCTGCCTCAAGTCTCAGCTCACAAAAGACCAACGCCAATGTCTTCTTATATACAAAAGTGTTTATTGCAGTTCATTGTTTGCTCGACATCCTAGGCGCGCAGCCCTACGTCTGCTACCCTTAGACCGCTGAAGTCCCCTCTGAATCCGTCCCTCCCCTACACCAGTTTAAGATGCTTGTGCTGCTCCACCTCTTTCTCTCTTTCCTTTTCCGCAGGGTCCTTCTGCCCGCTGGGGTTTCGCCCCTCCTGGATTCCTCTGACGCGGAATCAGACTGCTCTTGCCCCCTCCTGCGGGCTTTGGGACCTGGCCCCTCCTCCGGGCTCCCTGTACTTCCGCGAGCCTCTACATTTGAACTTGGCGCGCGCCCAGCCTCTAACCTTCCTTTCAACAGCTACACTACTCCCTTCACTGCTCCCCTCCTTCCGGGAGGATGGCTTGCTCCGACCTCCCTCCTTTCTCTGCTGCCGGAGCCTCTTCCCCTGACACACTGACACCTCCACCCCCTTCGCTGCACTCTGGCGGGGAGGCTGGTCCTGACACCCAGCTGCCGCTTTGGGATGCCCAGCTGGCCCCCTGCTCCTGACACGTCCCCCCTGGGGCTCCCCTGGGCTTGACCACCGGCGCCCCCTTCTGGGAATCCTCTGATTCGCTGGAAAGACTCATGGAATCTCTTGAGTAATTGTCTTCCTCTTCCTCGCTGTCCTGGGATTCATCCCCATCGCTCTCCATCTCCTGCCTACCCTGTGCCTCTGTCCCTGAACCCCTGACACATGCCGTAAACTTCATACCTGTGGTCCACAACTGTTCCCAGTCAGCCATCATTACATCCAACGTCTTGTGCCCATTTGATCATAGCAGATTTCACCGTTTCATCCTGAGTATTCCATTTCAACAGCAAGTTATACATCTTTGACAAAATCTTAGTTTTGGGTTCTAACAATTCTGTTTCTAATTTTGATTTTTCCACCTGGAAGCCAATTTTCTTGTCCAAATTGTACGCCTCCATTATCTGATAATAATGAAGCCAGTCTCGCACTTTGTTTTTTTCGTTTTTCAAAACTCTGCAGTTTCAATCTATCTCCATCTTGTTCCAAAATTTCCCAATATTTCGGCCATTTGACCTCCATATTGAGCTTTTTCAGAGCTTTCGCTTCCATCGGTGACAGCCACCTTGGTGTTTTATTTTCCAATAAATCCTTATATCTTGGGAAACTTTCTTTTACCTCATGAGATTCATCTGACATAGTTTCTGTTTATCCATCTAGCCAGGGCCTGCCCAAGACAGTTTGGCACCTGGGGTGAACCACAAAATTGTGCCCCCCCCCTTCCTGCCAAGGAAGAAAGGGTGAGTGAAGATCTACATCAAGAAGAAGGGGGAAATCAAGATCTACATCAGGATCTTCTGCTGCTGTGGATCCTGCCGCCTGAGGTGATCACTTCACGTTGTCTCATGTGTGGGCCGGCCCTGCATCCAGCCCAATACTGGGTACCCCAGGTATGTGTCCCTCCAAATATTGTTGGGCAATAATTCGCCATTTATGGCCAAGCAAGAATCAAACCTAAGTCTCTACAGGCTAAGACTTGTAGCCTAACCCACAGTTAGCCAACATGATTTTCTCTAGACGTTAAGAGACTACTACCACCATTATTCCTCATCATTGGCTATGCTGGTTGGGGCTGATGGGAGTTGGGTCTAAATAGGGTTGCCATAAATCTGGGAATTCCTGGGCATGTCCTCTTTTGGGGGTCCTACACCCCCATGCGGGGGGGGGGATTTTACATTTTAAAGCAAATGTCCTGGATTTGGGGTTTGTTTGTTTGCTTGTTTTATTGTTAGTGATGAAAATTTGTGTGTAGGTGGCTCTGGCGATCATCTCCGTGCAATGCAGGAATATGCAGCTGTCCCATACAGGGTCTGAACCTGCAACTTTTGCATTATCAGCACCATGCTCTAACCAACTTAGAGGAGCTGTGCAATATAGTCCACTTTTAATACCTGTTCCTATATATTTGACTAACTTTATCAGTAAATGGGGCTGGAGGCTAATTTTGTGATATGTAAAAGTAGCCAAAGTCAGGGCCTCTGGCTATTCCATCATGCTTTTACAGGTGGGTAATTACAACGGACAAATTAATTGAAACACATTAAGGCAACACACTGGGGGCTCCAGCTGGAGACAGGATGAGCATTCCAGATGGAAAAGGTCATTAATTTGTCCTTCAGGGACCCGAGCATCAGCCTGGTAATTACTGTAATATTACCCCATAGCTGATTGTGTACTGCTGCTTCCTTTGATAGGAGGATACCATATTGTCAAGCAACTGCAGCAAGGAACAGACTTGGATTCTTCATTTTAAAAAATACAGGAAGCAATTGATTCTCTCTGGAATCCCAGAAAACTCGATGAAGGTTAACAAGAAGCCATTCCCTGAAACCTATTTGAGTCTCATGAAAAGACACGTTTTCTTTTTGGTCAAAAATTAAAAATCCACACTGATGTGGATTTACCGTTTGACCTCTGCTCTTGTCTTCTTCCCTTGCCCCCAGTAAATGCTTGCATGAATACCTTTTTTTGCAGTTGCTTTGTCAAATTGCTACTCATACACACTCCTCCTCCATCCGAGTGAAATACCGAGAGAGAGCTTCTCTCAATTTTGCTTGGAAAGGATTTTGCGCAACATGACAGGCAGCAGCAAGTGATTTAAAGAAAAAATGTGGGTCAGCTTTCTGGGTCTTAAAGCTGGTTAGTACCACAATAAAACGTGTCTGGGATCAGGCAGCAAGGATTCAAGGTAGGCTCATGTTTAGATTACTGCAATGCATGCTATGTGGGGCTCCCCTTGGGTTTGCCCAGAGGCTGCAGCTGGTACAGAACATAGTGGCTACATTGGTTGTGGGGGGAAACTACCACTAGTATGTAGCTCCTTACTTGCAGGATTTATACTTGCTGCCCATTTGCTACCAGGCCAAGTTCAATGTGTTGGTACCTAAGATATCAGTACAGTACAGGACCAGCTTACTTACGTGACTGCCTTATCCCTCGTACCCAGCAGATTGCTGTGGTCAGTAGGAGAGTTTCTCCTGCAAGTTCCAAAGATCTCAGAAGCCTGCTCCATGGTAACTCAGAACAGGGCTTTTAGTGTGGCTGCCCCTGTTCTGTGGAATAGCAGCCCTCTTGACAGACGCCCACAATCTGCACTTTCTGGAAGCAGTTGCAAGACATTTTTGCTTCGACAGTCTTTCCCCGTGCCCTTAACCCTGTGCAAGTGCACATGTCAACCTACCCAGAGAGGGATTGCATGAGTATATATTGATCATATGATGGGGTGATGGTATTTTCTAATGCAGCAGCAGTTCAGGGAGGGGGGAAGTGCAAGAAGTGCAACTCTTATCCTGAGTTACTGAATCCTTAATGTTTTCCAAAAGCTCATGTTTAATTCAACTAAACATTAAAAAAGTCTAAATGATGGATAGAGTTACAGGATGCATGTTGGTTTAAGGACTGCCTAGCTTATTGGTTTACATTTTAAATCTTTCCTCCTCCCTCCCACCGCACCAATGCATCCCAAATACAGCATCTCCTTTATTCTGTCAAGATTTATTTTTACCAGGAATATGGGTGAATGACGTAGATAATGTTTTATGTACAACGTCTGAAAATCCTTGAAAGTACAGTTAAATAAGAGTTTACTATAACTGCATGATCCATAAGATAGCAACGTTGGCTTAGTTCAAACATAACACTAAGCCATGTTATGTGGACAGGCTTCAATGAGCTCAAATGAAGCTTCAGCGTCATGCACTGTCTCTGTCCCTTCTCTACTGGGTTTTCTTTTGCTTTTACATAGCGATAGTTGAGCACTACGTTCAAGCCAGAGATCCTGGTTTGAAATAAACTCTGGTTAGTTTGAGAAGCTAGTTTCATAACCCAGAGCTTGACCTTAACCCAGGATCTCTGGTTTGAACATAATGCTTAACCAAGGTTGTTTAAAATTGAAACTAAACCCAGGGTAAATACCAAAGGAGGAGAAAGGAGGGAAACAACATGAAGAGGACAGGAGGCCTTTGGTTGACTGACATTCAATGCCCTTTTAAAATGTGTTTGGGGGGGTATTGCATGGTTCTTGTTTTTATTTTGATTATGTATTGGGTTTTTATATCGTGACTTTATTCTGTGAACTGCCCTGAGACCTGTGGCTATAGGGCAGTATACAAATTTAATTTATTATTATTATTATTATCATCATTATTTTATTAATAATAATAAAGGGAAGAAGGAATTAATTGAAGTTCATCCACACAATGCTAAACCATGCTTTAGCATTACATCCAAAAACAGCCACTGACTTCAAAATATGTCATCACAGTATAGTGTAGGAGGAGAGGTTGCAGGACAGGCTTTACATCTTTAATCAGAAATCATGCAGTAAAGAAACACTGTGTATTGATACCATCAGTAAGTTCCAGTCACTGTTGCCTTTCAGTGCATGGAAACTGATGTTGCTTGGTTGTGTTGTGCAATGGCAGCCACCCCAAATTTATTATAACAGCCATTGTGGCTATTTGCACTACCACAGATATGGCCAAAGAGAGTTCACTAGTAGCAACTGCTAAGTGGTAGGAGTGAGTAGACATCAAGTACCTACTGACTGTCACTGCCAACCTAAGGGGACACTGAAACCAACAGCAGCCTGCATATAACTCCCTCCAATCACTAGCACTGGTTTGCTCTGGCCCCCGGAAACTCACACACAGGTAGTAGAGCCAGTGTGGTGTAGTTGTTAAGAGCGGTAGTCTCCTGATCTGGGGAACCGGGTTCGCGTCTCCGCTCTTCCACATGCAGCTGCTGGGTGACCTTGGGCCAGTCACACTTCTTTGAAGTCTCTCAGCCCCACTCACCTCACAGAGTGTTTGTTGTGGGGGAGGAAGGGAAAGGAGAATGTTAGCCGCTTTGAGACTCCTTAAAGGGAGTGAAAGGCGGGATATCAAATCCAAACTCTTCTTCTTCTTCTAGCATGTGAGAGCATCTGCACCAAGCAAGGTCCTTCCCCTCTGCTGAACAAGAACTATCATATGCTTCAAAACATGGGTCAGATCATTGTAGTGATTGTAATAGTGGAAATAGCAATGGGCCAAAGTAACACATTTTCTGAACGCTAGGAATTATGAAGAGCTATCTTGGAGATATAGAATATTTATTAAGTTCAAAAAAGTATACAATTATGTATGAAAAATGCACAGGGAAAAAAACACCTTCATTCATTACTCTATAATGTTATCAAAGCTCTGTCCTGATAGAAGCACACTGATTTGTAGTCCATGTGTATGTAAAAGCAGTGGATTTGGGTTAGGCAGGGAGGGGGGGACTTTACATTTTTCTCACTATCCTCCTCTCCGTTCCACAGGGATACAAATGTCTATGTGATGAATTTCAGTGCTTTGATAAAAAAGGGGGCACTTGATGTAGCCAAGAACAAGTTATAAAGCAATACATCACAAAACTGACCTCGAATGCTTTGAAAAGAAAGTTATATACATGCTAGGTGAGACTTTGCTTTGAAAAGAAAGTTATATACATGCTAGGTGAGACTCTGATATAGACATCTGCCAAGGAGTAATCTGAAACCACCAAGAATCTAGCTTGCAGATGTGGATCTGTTTCCTGAAGCTCCTCACTTTTACAATAAAATCTTGAGACAACACTGGGCCACTAAATTGTTCACTGTGAAAAGAAAGTGTTAATTTGGCAAAAGATCTCCGATAGTGGCAATGCATCATTTAAGGAGGCCATAGTGAGACCAAGGAGATCCAGAAAGTCACTTGAGAAATATTTCAGGTATGCTTCCCCATCCAGAGACAAAGGCCGATATGGTGGTGAACCCATGAGAGACACCCATGTGGGTAAGAATGGTTGACTATGATGCATCTACTGTTTTTAAAGTCACTGAGTTGCATTATGAAATCTCAAATGTTCCTATTGCACACAGCACTACTTTCACAAAGACTGCGCAGTCTTAACCTGGGAACAGAAATGTTTCCACCCAAGGTCTAATTGTGGTGTTCACATCACATACACAAGTCATTACAGATTTTAGTCCAACAATGTTTGATGTTGCTTGTAGAGCATTTCTGATGTAATATGTGTGTCACAAGATAAATATTAGACACATTTTTTAAAAATAACTTAATATGCACCCTATGAATCTGGAAAACTTTTGTTTTACAATAAATAAGATGTCTTCAAAGTAATTTGGACAAAGACCAACTATGAACAATGAGAAAAGCCACCCTAAAGTGCTACTGGTAGTAAACAAGGAAAGGTTTTAGAGATAAACAATATTTTCTTCCGTGTCTCCGTTTTCTGAATCTTGCCCCCTATCACCAGGTAGACTGTGCAGCAGAACATCTGATGGGTGTTGAGGCTGGATAGTGACAAGACTTGAACTGTGTGGTCTTGGGCACTGGCTCTGCAATGCATTCATGTCTAGAACACAAAAACAGAGACAAGTTAAAAGCTGTAGCTCCACTTGCCACATGCCCCTAGCAAAGGACCCATATATGAGAGAGAGAGAGACAGGCCTGAATTTGTCATATACCAATACTTTTTTGGTAAAAAATAAAATGACTACAGTAACCTTCCTGGGAAGGCCTTGAACAATTCCTTTCCACAACACCAGTTTCTCCTTTCAATGCCACCATTGCGCCTACACTACCTGCAGCAAACAAGCACAGATTGTTGCATCCAATACTGAGTGAGCAACTTTCTGTTTGCACAATTTGACTTCCCCTCTCCTCTCCTCCAACCCTCTGGAACAGATTTTTGGTATGTGCAGGGGGCTGCAGGGAGAAGGTGAGGGTTTTTCTGTGCAAGCAGAACGGTAGCATTGGATACACCCCAGAGTTGTGTTCTAACGGTGGCCATTTCATATTGCTTACCTAGTCATTTGTATACTGCCTCTCCTAATATTTATCTCAAGGCAGATTGCAACAACAAAATCCAATCGGTAGGCATCACCATTAAATTTCCATTAGAATGGCAGCGCAAAAGCTTCACTTCCACAGTTCAAAATTATATGCTCTTTCCAGTCCTTACAATACAAACCATTAACATGCTTGAGAGAATAAAAGCAGCTTAATTTGGCACCTGAAAGATAATACAGCAGGTGCCAGGGGAGCGAGAAAATAGGTGGTGCGCTACAACTGGGTCATGTGGCAAACTCCCAACACTCTTCAATGGGAGCCTTCAGCAAGAAGTCACCAAGGGACTCAGATATTGGTCCCCTTCCAAACACAGAACTGCAAACGCTGAATGCTGCCCAAACTTGCTTTTACTAAGGTTGTCATCCTTGGGCCACTTCAGTGGAGAACCACTGTTATGGCAACACTTCCCAGGCAGAACTATGGAAGGCATAAAGGCAGAAGTCCTGGAGTGTTTCTGACACTCTGCTGGGTGCAACGCTTTTGGAGGAAGGAGTTGGGAAAGGCGGTGTGACAAAAAGGGTGGGAAGAAAATATGACAGAGGTGAACACTTTCCCTGGGAAATTCTTTGTCAGGATTCTCTTTCTACTCATAGTCCAGGGCAGGTTGCTGAACTCCCATCATCCCTGGTCATGATGGCTGAGACCGATGATAACCGACATCTAGAGGATTGCAGGGTATAGCAATGTGCATGCTATAATCTGGTCCTCAACGTCACCATAATGTTGTGACAGTCTTTCTGTATCACCTATATAATTAACTAATGATTGCATCAGTTGGAGGTATTTTTATAATTAAGGAAGTGATATACATTTTCCCCCATACAATGGTTCTCTTTCTTTTTTGGTTAAAGGTAAAGGTAAAGGTACCCCTGCCCGTACGAACCAGTCATGTCCGACTCTAGGGTTGTGCGCCCATCTCGCTTAAGAGGCCGGGGGCCAGCACTGTCCGGAGACACTTCCGGAACACGTGGCCAGCATGATGAAGCTGCTCTGGCGAGCCAGCACCAGCGCAGCACACGGAAACGCCGTTTACCTTCCCACTGTAAAGCGGTACCTATTTATCTACTTGCACTTAGGGGTGCTTTCGAACTGCTAGGTGGGCAGGAGCTGGGACCGAAGGACGGGAGCTCACCCCGCCGCGGGGATTCGAACCACCGACCATGCGATCAGCAAGCCCTAGGCGCTGAGGTTTTACCCACAGCGCCACCCACGTCCCCTTTTTTGGTTACTAGTGTACAAAAAGTCACATGTACCCATCACATAATTGCAACCTGAGAGTAGGTTTTAAAATGTTTATACCCTTTTTAAAAAAAATTAGAACTAAATTCTAGCCATGGTTAAGCCTTTTTATTTAAATATGAGAGCAAAGCACATAAGTTAATCTTTCCTAAGAGTTAAAATCTTTTTGGTTGGCCAGTGAACTGAATATTTCTCACTGAAATCAAGAAGAATTCAGGCACAAAGTGTAGTACAGCACAGTGTGAGAGCCTAAATACAAAATAAAGCCGCAACATATATTAAAACAAGCCAAAGAAACTGCAATAGATCATGTCACTAAACCATTTCAATTGCCAGGACAGCCAGATCAAGTAACAGGTATAGTGTTACTCAGGGCCGTTCTTGGCCTGGATTTAAGAAACCCTGTCGTAATGCTAGAATGAGTGAAGAAAATAATCAGAAAAGGTCAAAAAACACATGCTTTTTAAAAGGCACAATATAAATGAATAATAAAATCAGACTGAATGATTTAGGAATCATTTGGCTACGTTGCTCAGCTTTGCTGGGTTTCTGAAAAGTTCCAAAAATATCCCTCCGAAAAGTTTGCTGTTGTACCCAGACTATACCACTCTGGAGTTCAGACAGAGGAATTGCTTCCTTTTGTAAAGGAAAAACCCTGCACATAGAAAAGCAGAGTATCAGGTTGAAGGCTAAGCTAGAACCCTTCTTCCTGGCACTTTACTTTTCTATACACAGGGACTATTTTATATGAGGGGGAGTTCAAACGCTGGATCCCCGTTGTGCAATCTGTAGCAGCACAGCCTAGAAACAATTTTACTGGAAGATAAGCTGTTTACCTAGCAAGGCTCTGTAGGAAAGTTCCCTCTTAGAATATTACTTAATGATTTCTCATCCCACAAAATGAGCTAGGACCCAGTGATCTAACCTTAGGGCAGTGTAGGTGGTTTGCCATGCTATTTGCAAAGGGGAAATAAATGCAAGTAATATGGACAAATGGGACTCTTTGGGCTGGTCTGGATTGACAGGTAGAAGCATAAGACAAAAAATTCCTTGCCATGCGTCCTTAGACAAAAGGACCAGAAGCCACTGCCTACAATGCCCAAGAGTCTGTCAGTCACAATACAACTTAAGAGGTATGTTGGGGCTTCTTACAACGGCAATAGTGAATTGTGTGTGTGAATTCCTCAAATGAGGTTCCGTTTAACACAACAAGATGCAAGTTGCTTGGAGTTCCACACCTCACCTTGATATTTGGGTATTTGGCTTTTTAGTGATAGATCCGAGTTCATTCCTGGATTCCTAACAAAATCTTCACTGGCTGTGTTCATCCTGCTGTTCATGGCTTCTGTGCAACTGCCTGTGAAACAAAGCAATGCTGTTTTAATTGACCAACATTTTCCTTGACCATGATTTCAAAAGGGCAGAAAAGTAAGAGGGAAAAAAGTAAGAGAAAATCCAACAATGGTGTTATTATAGCATTGTTTTACTGCATTCACAATCATTTCTTAATCGAAGGGAATGAGAGAAAGATGTGTGGATGTTAATTGCACTTAATCAATTAAGAAACACTCTTACGGCTTAAAGTTCAAATATCTCAGGAAGAAAAGCCGTTTGTTCTCCCCAAATCATTGAGAGCAAACCTATGGACACTGTCCTTGGGATAACTACAGTACCATCCTAAGTCTTTCAGGTTCATATGGCAAAAGAACCAGGGTGTTATATCTATGAAGTCTGGCCTGTAATATAACCAAAAAATATATATAGTTATTGCAGAACTTAACACTATCATCATTTTGGAAGACTGCCTGTAATTTAAAAAGATGTTACCTAATTTTTAAGAAAGCTGTCCCAATATTATTCTGGAAAAGCAACAATAAATGGGTGAACAATAGTGAATCTGGTACCCAACCTATGGAGGAACTGTGGGTTTAGTGGAATCCACAAGCTCCCCTCCTGTCTTTCCAATCTTAGCAATGTCATGTGCACCTCCAGGGTTCTCAAAATATTAATGCAGGGAGCCAGGAAAAAAAATAAGGAAGCCAGGTCTCCCCCGCAACCCCACTCATCGGAGTAATAATAATAATATTTTTTTATTTATACCCCGCCCTTCCCGGTTCAGAAAACCGGGCTTAGGGCAGCTAACAACAAATTTAAAACACTTAATTGATGCAACAAAAAACAGCATAAAATACAGTGTAAAATGTGAATAACAATAAATTCAGAACTGCATGGATCAATATATGGGGCAAGTAAGGGTGAACTTTTTTCACAGAAGGCTCAACTGAATGGTGGACCAGTAGTCTCAAATGTTTATGTGCTGGCCCAAGTTATTTTGCTGCTTAAGGCAAAGGACAAATTGGCGCCACCCCCCTCCACCTTCCCACAACTTGACCAGAGCAGGGCTGGCCCTCCCGTAAGGCAAGCTGAGGCAGCTGCCTTAGACAGCAGAACACCAAGAGGCAGTGCCCCTGTGGACGCCCTGCCCACCCAATTGTTGATGGAGAAGTGGTGGCTGCAGTTTCTAATGAGATGAATTGCTGGGATAGATCAGTCGGCAGAGCATGAAACTTTTAATCTCAGGGTTGTGGGTTCCAGCCCCACATTGGGCAAAATATTCCTGCATTGCAGGGGGTTGGACTAGATGACCGAAGTCCCTTCCAAGTGTACAAGTCTATGATTCATATTTGAACACTAGTGATAGGACAGCATCCTCAACCTACCACACCTGAGGTCAGCAAAGTAACTGATCCCACTTCCAGATAAGTACAGTGGTGCCTCGCAAGACGAAATTAATTCGTTCCGCGAGTTTTGTCGTCTTGCGATTTTTTTCGTCTTGCGAAGCACGGTGTCGGGAAAGTTTTGGAAAAGCTTCAAAAATCACCAAAGTCTTTAAAAACCTCAAAAAGGCTACCACACCGCGTTCTATGAGTTGCTCCTCGAAGTCAAGTCGCAACTGTATTAACGGTGTTAAGAAAAGGAAACAAACTTGCAAGACGTTTCCGTCTTGCGAAGCAAGCCCATAGGGAAAATCGTCTTGCGAAGCAGCTCAAAAAACCCTTTCGTCTAGCGAGTTTTTTGTCTTGCGAGGCATTCGTCTTGCGAGGTACCACTGTATAGGAAAGCAATGCCTCAGTGGTGCTGAAAAGTACCTGGAAAAGTACCTGGAGTACTGTGTCCAGTTCTGGGCACCACAGTTCAAGAAGGACACTGACAAACTGGAACGTGTCCAGAGGAGGGCAACCAAAATGGTCAAAGGCCTGGAAACGATGCCTTATGAGGAACGGCTCAGGGAGCTGGGCATGTTTAGCCTGGAGAAGAGGAGGTTAAGGGGTGATATGATAGCCATGTTCAAATATATAAAAGGATGTCACATAGAGGAGGAAGAAAGGTTGTTTTCTGCTGCTCCAGAGAAGCGGACACGGAGCAATGGATCCAAACTACAAGAAAGAAGATTCCACCTAAACATTAGGAAGAACTTCCTGACAGTAAGAGCTGTTCGACAGTGGAATTTGCTGCCAAGGAGTGTGGTGGAGTCTCCTTCTTTGGAGGTCTTTAAGCAGAGGCTTGACAACCATATGTCAGGAGTGCTCTGATGGTGTTTCCTGCTTGGCAGGGGGTTGGACTCGATGGCCCTTGTGGTCTCTTCCAACTCTATGATTCTATGATACTATGATTCTATGAAAGACTCCAGTGCGGAAGAAACCCTATTGTAAGCAGCACATATGTTCCAGAATTTGGATAGCTGCTGCCAGTCAGAGTAAGGTAAAGGTAAAGGGACCCCTGACCATTAGGTCCAGTCGTGACCAACTCTGGGGTTACGGCGCTCATCTCGCTTTATTGGCTGAGGGAGCCAGCGTACAGCTTCTGGGTCATGAGGCCAGCATGACTAAGCCGCTTCTGGCAAACCAGAGCAGCGCACGGAAACGTCGTTTACCTTCCCGCCGGAGCGGTACCTATTTATCTACTTGCACCTTGACATGCTTTCAAACTGCTAGGTTGGCAGGAGCAGGGACCGAGCAACGAGAGCTCACCCCGTTCCAGGGATTCGAACCGCCGACCTTCTGATCGGCAAGTCCTAGGCTCTGTGGTTTAACCTACAGTGCCACCCATGGACCACACCAAGGGATTGTCACAGCACGCAGCAGTGTCCTATTGTACTATAGCTGGATACTCAGATTCATAAAATTGCAAAGCAGAAATCCTATGCACACTAGGTGTTTTTTTGGTGAATACTGTATTTGCATTTAATGGCACTTAAAACCTGCTTCAAAGGCCTATTGAAAATCTGCCCGTGTATCTTTCCAGATGTGATATATTTTTCCCGGAGGATGCCGTCTGCATTTGCTAGCGCTTTCCTCCTGCTAGTCCTAGAAAATTATATCCCTGGTCCTGACTGCAAAGTCCTCTTGGGAAAACCTCAGCACCTGGGAAAGGCACTATGGCTACAGTGAGCCTTATCTTGTGTTCTCAATACCAGGGGCCTCAGAAGGGTTAGCGCCTGAACAAAGTCTGCGCAGGTGCTTTTCCTTTGAGCGTTCATGCTTCTCTTGGGAATTCCAGTGAAAAATCTAGACTCCATTACGTCCTGTGGCATCTAAATGCAAAAAAAAGACCTCACACCCTTTGTTTTGCACGCTTTGAAGTAAACATTCAGCAACCTCCCGGGATACGGTAGTGTCCCAGACAACAGCGCACTTTCCCAGCGATACCTGATGAACTGATAAGCAGCACAACCTGCGCACCTTCTGCAATCAGGGTGAATGCACATCAGAAGAAAACGGATCCAGCGAGACCTGTATTGTATCTTTCCTAGGGGTTGCCATGGTAACACCTCTCCAGATAACATGATCTAAAGGAGGACCTGGCAGCATTCAAAATTTTCATATTATGGGTTGTTGTTTTTAAATGCGCAGACTGAAATATGAAGGTGTCACCAGTCACTTTGATGTCGGGCAAGACCAACGAAGCCAGATTAGAATCAGCTCCTCGGGCAAAAATATTTCTCTGTTCTACCACCCGAACACCATTTAAGAAGAAGGGCTACAGCTCAGTGTTCATCCACTCTGCGTGCAGAAGGTCCCTGGTTCAATCCCCAGCTTCTTCAGGAAGGGCTGGGAGTGTTCCCTGTCTCAAACCCTGGGAGCCACTGCCAGCCGGTGTAGACAATACAGGGCTAGATGGACTAGTGGTCTGAGCTGCTATAAGGCCGTTTCCTGTGGAACTGGAGAGTAGCGTGTTTCTGCTAGAACTTAATATGTGCAAAGCACATAGGAAGATACCAGCCCAGACTATGGCTCGATCCAGCGGCGTAGCGTGGGTTGTCAGCACCCGGGGCAAGGCAAGTAATTTGCGCCCCCTAACCCGGGGCAAGGCAAGTAATTTGCGCCCCCTAACCTGGGGCAAGGCAAGTAATTTGCGCCCCCTAACCCCTAACCTGCCACCGCTGCCAGCTTCTTCTTGCTGCTGCCTGGTCTGGTCTGGTGTGGTTCTCTCCCGCGCTCAGCGCTGCGCTGGGCAGCCGCTGCACTGTCCCTCCCCCAGATAGTCCCTCACTCTCTCTCCGCACCGCACGCCTGGCACCCACCCCCTCCACAGTGGGCGGCGACCCAGCGGCTCGGATCGGATTCGCACAGCCAGCACTGCAGTGAGAGAGAGTGAGTGAGCCGGGTAGGGGCAGAGAGCTGCGAGTGCGAGCACACCCCCCAGATGTTGTGCCCGGTGCGGCCGGCCCCCCCTGCACCCCCACGCTACGCCACTGGCTCGATCTTCCCTATACAATTAAAGCAGTTTCACACCACTTTCAACAGTCATGACTTCCCTTCCAAAGAATCCTGGGAACTATCATTTGCTAAGGGTGTTGAGAGTTGTTAGGGAGACCCCTATTCCCCACACAGGGCTATAATTCTCAGAGTGGTTAACTCTCAGCACACTCAACAATGGGATTCTTTCGGGGAAGCCCTGCCTGTTTAAGTGGAGTGCTCTCCCAGGGGAAGTTCACCTGGTGCCTTCATTGTACACCTTTAGGCGCCAGGCAAGAATGTTCCTTTTTAACCAGGTCTTTAGTTGACCTAATCAACATCCCATACCAATTAAAATGTGGCTCTTGGGGGGCATTATTATTGGGTTATTGCTTTTTATGTGGACCGCCCTGAGACCTCTGGGTATAGGGTGATATATGAATTCAATCAATCAATCAATCAATCAATCAATACTGCTTTAAATCTATAGCGCAGATGGGGCCTATTTGTCTAGCCCAGTGTTGTCTGTCTGGAAATGTCTCTCTAGGGGCTTGGATAGAAGCTGTTCGCATCACTTGCTCCTTTCGCTTTGCTGGAAGTGCCATGGACTGAACCTGGCTCCTTCTACATGCAAAGCAGCTGTTCCACAGTTGAGTGACATGTTCTACCTCCCCCCCCCAAAAAAAAATGCTCTACCACATAGCTGTGGATTTTCCATCACACGGAAGGCACCCAAGGGAGAAAGTCAAGAGCATTTCAAGGAGACTGAGGAACAAAAGAACCAGACAAGCTCTAAGCATCAAACCCTTGGGTGCCGTTTGAGTGAGCAAGTACAACTTCGCACGGCCTGCCTCTCTCTCACACACAAAAAAGCACAATGTGTCACCCAGACGACACCGTCAGCCTGAAAGTGGAGCAGGAAGGCCTGCTGTCACCATGCTTTCCGCAGTCAGCTTGGATGTGGTACAAGGCTCTGGGTCCGATCCAGGCAGCAGCAGCTGGTCGCACAGCAGGCTGTTAAATGCCACAATGAAAACAGATAGTTTGACAAGCACTAACTGGGAGCAACAAATCAGCAGCTCAGGTGTGGGCAACTTATTTCGTATCTTTATATTTATGTGCTATGAAAGCCTCCAAGTCCAGGGCTTTCCTGGCTCTGCAGCTCTCTCTCTCTCTCTCTCTAAGGGCCAACTTTTACAACCCATTGTCACTCGCGTTGTAGGCATGGCTCGTAACAATGCAATCTGCCTCAGCCACGCAGGCCAGAAGTTTTGTACATTATGAAAATGCCTTGGGGAGCAGCCGCAGGGTAGCAGCACCAATATTTGTAAACAGTGCCTGCGATTTTCCTGGACGAAGTATCATAACGATCGTTCATATGTTTCATTTATGGTAGCTTTGTCCCCCCCCCCAAAAAAAAGTCTGAAGATAATTGGACTTCTATTTTATACCTATAAATTGGTGGAAAGCATTGGGCAAAATACAATTATCAAGCATGAGGAAGAACGTTTTCTCCCCCCCCCCCCATGGTGAATGTGGCTTCTGAATATATTAAGTCTTGTCTCACTATCCTTTTAGAATTGTTTGGAAGAGTTAGTAATGGGAAAAAACAATTCAGGAGTAGTATGATAAGAATTGGGAAATTTTAGTGACAAACTTTAGCTATACTTAAATGTTGTTTCAACTTTATAGGACCAAGTATTTTTAAAATGAAAGCAGTTTTCTATTCTTCTTACATTATCAAATATTTTATAAAAAGCATTCTTAGTTGGTTTTTAAATTTTATTATTACTCCCTATTGTGTACAACATGCATTATTAGTCTTGTTACTCCCATATTCCCACTGTAATGTTTAAAATGTTCTTACTATT